GCGGGGATGGGGGATGCGGCTCCCCCGGTCCGGGCGTGCCGAAACCCGCGCTGCCTCCGAAGAAGCTTTTCTTCCACGCCCCGTGCCCACATGCCCACATGCTCGCGTGTTTGTGCGGTTTCCCCCTCCCTCTGTAGCGGAACTTGATTTACAACGAAGCAGGCGCGGCTGTAGAGGAAGACAAGCGCTACTTCTGCTTAATCCGATCGAAGGATCGCAGTTAATCAGTAATTTTACAAAACGATATGTCAAAATCGTGTAATTACAAGCTTAACCTTTTATTTAAGGAGGAGAATTGGTCGTTTTATGCCACGTTTGTAGCGTTTTATACATCCAATTACGTCTCGGTGAAATATACATAGAAAAGAAGGACTGATAAAGTGCAAAGTTGTGTTTGTATACGCAGCACCCTTCGAATTTGAAATTGTGCTTTCTAAAATACACTGATTTTTTTTTTGAAAAAGTATGTTTATAGACCTGCTAGTTCATGGTGGTACTGCGTGCTGTGCTTTTAATACTGTTGTGCAGATACAAACCTCAGCAAGCAGCTCCATCCAAAAATGATGCAAAATCTGATTGCTGCTTCTTCCCTTGGAAATGAAGTTTTGATTTATTAGCCTAATACTTTAAGTTTTATCCAGTAACATGAATGATTCCTCCAGTGAAGCGAGTATCTTTGATTTCCCATGTTTCCTCCATGTCATAACATATTTCTTTGTATGTTATTTGCAGAGTGAAGCTCTTTTTGATTCACATCTGGTTGTATCATGACTACACTAAAGTCAAACCATACTACTGCATGAATAACTTTGGAGTGGATTATCTCTTGCAGTTCATGTAACGAATGACTGCACACGCCATCCAAATGGGCAAATAGCTGGTGTATCAGAGACTTTAAAAGATTTTTAAAAGTCAAGATTTGTTTTAGTGTAATTGAAATACATCTGGGGATTATATTTCTCATATGTATGTGTAAATATGAAGAGAGCAGTTCCTACTGTTTGCCTTCCTACAGCTCTTCCACTTCATGGCCTCAGGGGCAAAGACTGCTTTCCCAGCCTGCCTGCTATGTGGCATTAGATGCTACAGCCTTCTTGCAAACATATGCTGCTTCAAGCAAGAAAAATCTTTTGTGTACACGGGGGTTGACTGGGGTCCTCAAGAAGGCGGCTTAGTGTAAGTAGTATGTTGAAAATATAATTCCCCTTGCAGATCTACAGCACAACATACTGCCTTCAGTGCTCACTGCTGCATGGTCTGCTCTGCTTTGAGCTGAACAGTATTTTCATAAAGGTCCTGCTGTCATTACAGAAATATTTTATAAGCCATATCCTGATATGCAGTGCACAAGAAGACTCTGGTCATGGAGAAATGAAAAGCCAGACATACCTTGGTGTATCCTGGTAGCTGATGGCCTTCCTTGTTTGTCTGTAGAAGATACAGGTTTACTGGAGGGAGAAAAATCATTCATTGTGCCCTGCATTATAGCTGATAAAATCATTCATTGTGCCCTGCAATATGGCTGCTCCATAATCATCTGCACCTGGCTTTGTGATGGGGGTCCAACTTTCTGTCTGGGATTTGCCTAGCTCTTCGCACACCTCAGGGTTTGGACTCCAAACCAGAACTTGGTATAAAGTAATGTTTATGATTTCAGCTATATTAAAGTGCTTGAGTAACTTAGTGTATGAATCTTACATTCCACAGGTTTTGGTGGCATCTCCATAAAGGGTTTCCAGACAGAAAAGTTTTCTCCATCCTTAACACCATCCTTACAGAAACTCTGTTCAGGAAAGGGGCAGGAATCAGGATGCTATGAGATGGTCTGCAAGATGGGTGCCATCTGCACTGAGGTTTCATGCTTTTGCAGCAGCTATATTCTTTCAAAATCTTGTTTCATGTGGGAATGAATGGTATATTGGGGAGGTCTGCAGTGTGTATAATGAATACAGAGTCATTTTTTCATACAAGGATACAAGCCAGAATATATCTCTGCAGGAGAATAGAATAAAATTGTGGGTTTCTGTCTGTTAAAAATACATGGAAGAATAACAGTCCTACTGTGCTAGTGATGATGTAGGAGCAAAGCGCCCAGGATGGTCTAAGATGTAGGAAGCGTGCTGAACTTTGTAAGGAATGTGAGCTGGCTCTTGTAATTGTAACTCCTTTATTCATTTTGTTGGGGAAAATGCATTAACATTTGTTTGTTTCCATTAGTGACCTGCAGCCTTTGTTTTTTGCAATACATGTTTGAGTTAAACTTCTTCAGCTCCGAGGAAGTCAGGAAGCTGCAGACAGCATGTGGATAAGAAAGTGCACCGCCTCAGTACAGAGAGGGAGTGTGTAGAGAAACCTGGCATTGCCACCTCAGTTAAGCAAGTTCCCGTAGTCAAGTGGTATATGGTATTGAATATTATGCGTAATTGTTTTATTACTGCTAATTGTTTTTAGCAAAGTCTCCAAGTCTCCACCCTCTTTTCTGGCTGTAACTGGTGAATATTCTTGAGTGTGAGATGTTCCCTTGAAAAAGCTGTAAAGTACTGCCAAGAAGCCAAGTGAACCACTTAGGCATTTCCTTCACCTTAAAATATGACACAACAAGAAAAGGCATCATATTACCTGTCCTTTTGGGAATTGTGGCAGATATGGTCTTCCTGAGACTTTACAACATCAATTCACTGGTTAATGCATTTGGACTCACAAAAAAGTGGATAAGTGGTCCCGTCCTTTGGTTTGGATCCTCTGGAATAATTAATGTACTCGTTGGTTATAGAGTGTAAAGTCAGTTTACAAGAACAAATAAAGAACAAAAAGGACTTTCTGGAGTACACGCAACATGAACTCAGTGTGTTTTGTTCCTTTCTCTTATTGCTTTAAACACCATATAGCCTCCATTTCTAAATGAATTCCTGAAGCACTGGGATTATTAATTCAGCCTCAGGTCTTAAATCAGTGGGACTTTTGCCTTCAGCTCCTTTGGTGAAGGACATGAAGTAAGGATGTGTCTACAATATTCAGCCTAATCTAATAAAGAAAAGGAAAGCCTTATGGGTAGAAAAAGCAGCAGCTATATATGATGGGATAACACCCTGCCTTAGGATCAGTCGCAGAAGTATTTTCATCTTTGTGTGCTGGCATTAAAGACATTAACTGCTTTTGAGATTGCATGCCTGAACTTACTGTAAATGAAGGAGGTGTGTTCATGGCTGTGTTTTGGACATGCAGAGCCAGGATCTGTATTACTGACTTCAGAGGAGTTGTACAGAGGATGAGAGAGAGAGAGAATGCATCCTTTGGGAATAATTTAAAATAGGTATGTGCATGAATCCTGGTTCATGTGATTGCGTGTCTGTATCTGAGGGATAAATTGGCCTATTTCTTCTTTTTAAAAGGCTTCTCTACAAATTGTGTGAAGGTTTATACCCTGGTTAGAAAGTCCTGCTCATGTCCATGTTCTGTGTTCTGTCTGCAGCTTTACACAAAAAGAAGGGGAATAAAGTAACACATACACAACTTTGCAGTGAAAATGCACCATTCCTGTGTTCTTCAAGATACCTAGGAGTGAATCAGGACTCACAGAAAAGTTCTATTTACCCACTATTATTATCTGAGCTGTAAAGAGAAAGCAGAACTTAAGTTTCACTGGTGATTTTATTCCACTTTTTTCATTAATTTTTTCTGATCATTTGTGGTACAAGAAATGTATTGTTCATCTCTGAAGGAGTCTAGAAAATAGTTACTTCCTTTGGTTGTGTTCTTCACAATGGCAAAAAAAACCCAACAAAACAAACCAATTCCCAATATCAACAATTGGAATTTGCTTCTGATTTCTGTGAGGACACGATTTCCTTCTCTGTGCTACAAACTGGTCATTTTTCTTTGTATAGTCACTTATTAATGGGGCTCCCCTATTTGTGAGCATGTCTTATGAACATAAATGCATTTTTCTTAGTGCTACAGTACTAGAAAACTTCATAATAGCTATGTCATGTTAGGAATGGAAACATTTAATTTATTTTCAAAACACAAGTTCGCATTTCATTGGTGGTAATGTGCAGTGTGTAAGCCTGAAAATGAGAGAATTGTAAGTCATGCTTTGGAACCAAAAATTCCATTATCGTTTTTGTTTGTTTGCTTGTTTGTTTGTTTCAGTAATATGTGATAAAACTTTAGTTGTGAAAAAAGAGCCTCAGTTTCTGTCAGATGTGGCATAGGATGTGGCTTCAGAATGTAGCCTTACCAGTTTCGCAGCTGTGCATTTCTTATCTTTAGAAATGAGAAACTCTATAGAATATCATGCCCTGATGTGACACCAATTCTGTATGCTTAGTAGTAAACCAAATAAAACTTGATCTTGCTGATACTGCAAGGTTTGTTATACATAAACTGGAGTATATCCTGATCAGATTTTCCAGTGAGAAAACCTGCTAGGGTGAAGACATGTTAAAATTCAACTGGAAGTGCATGTTTGTAAAGTTTTGCACTGGAAAATGAGGAATTTGAAATTTGTTCTTCTTTAATGTTTTTCTTAATATGTTCACCTTTGTGGAGGTACACATGCATTCACATGGTAAATCTGACATTTTGTGTTCCAAAAAACTCTGTAGTGGAGAAGGATATTAATACTCGTTTTCTTCTTTACTAGGGATAAAAAAAATGATATGGTGTGTGTTAGAAATGCGAAATGTGATCAATTAAGTGGCTTAAAACTTCTGATTGTGGTGTTGTGCCTGTAGAGCATAGAAAATAGGAGGCAGAGCAAGGATGTTACTGGCAAGCTTGGAGTGGGCCATGATGTTCTTGCACTATTTTGGGTGCATTTAGATTTGGAGGATAATGTGGAAACAGAATAAAGTGTATTATGCTTATAAAGTGTAATATAGGAATCCCCAAACAGGTTCTTGCTTCACACAAAAGGTAACAGGTGGTGCAGAACACCAGTGTGTACCTCTGTGTAAGAATAAGCAGCAGAGGACCATGCTCACTGGGGAAATTCTCACTCTTCTGTGCAGATAGACTTGCTGATCAAAGAAAGAACAAACTAAGGACATGGTGAGAGAACTGCCCTAGGCTCATCAGTTATTTGGACTTAACAGTGCATTGTGTTTTCCATGTCCCATAATTCTTGCATTGTTGTTACGCTCTGCATTGCCTACTCACATTTCAAATGCAGATATCATTTTTCATCACTAAGGGTGTTGTAAACTCTTGCCATTTTCATTCATTAGCCCTTCCTCTTCCCCATATGTTTAAATTTCAGAGTCTTTTTTTGGATACTCTCATTAGGGAAGAGGTGTAATATTTGACAGGCAAGTGGTCAAGCTTGTCTCTGCTGCAGGTGGTGTTTGGCAAGAAGTGGTAGACAGATTTATAAAGTAAAGGAAATGCAATATAACAGCACTCCCTTACATTTTAACTTACATTGTATTGATCAGTTCTGATGCCTTTGCATCTATCTGCAAGATTCTATTATTCTGCATATTGAAATATTGTTAGATTTTGCTTACAAGGAAATTGCTTCTATGAAATTAAATGATGCCATGAAATACAGTTTCTGAATCTATTTCAGTAGCATAATGTGTATAATAAAATGTGTCTGCCTATAGCAGTACATAGACTCCAATTTCAATTCTACAGGCCCAGGCCTCTCAATTTCTTAGGCCCAGGCCTAAGAAATCTGCAAATCAGCTTTCCTAGGACTGGGCCATCTTAGGGCATACCTAGATAAGATAGAAATATTCTATCCCTTTAAAGTCAGTTGTTTCCTTCTTACAACTGATTTCAAAGGGAAAATGAGGGTTTCTTGATTATTTTTTGCTTACAATGAGATGTTTACTGTAAACCTTATGAAGAGTACCCTGATGTCTTGTTTCTCTGTTACTCAGTTTCCTTTTAATTTACACACAGATTTTCTTTTTTCTGTTAGCTTGGTTCCTGTTGCTTCTGAGACTAATATTAGTGTTCAGTGACTGTGCCTGACATTCTTCCTTGTCCCCTCTTGCTCTCTCTTTTCCAAGCTAAACTAGCCAAACTCTTTTAAGCTCTTCACTGTTGAGAGACCATTCATCTAACCATTGTGATTGGAATCGTCAGGCCCTCTCTCAGCTGGAATCCACCTTTCCTGAGTTTGGCTGAACAAAAAGGTAGGTGTTGCTCCAGTGCTCAGAGAGCTCCACAGGAGGACTTTTTCAAGTCTTCTATGCTGACATTAAGCTGATACTGATAATTTTCCTTGCTGGAAGTACCTTGATTGATATGCTGTGCTCTCCCTCTGGCTGCATCAGATGGTGTCATGGTCTCTGGTGTGCATATCCACCTACCCTAAGTATTTATCTTGAGGAGCAAGTGAACCTTTATAATCAAAGGGGAGAAATGGACATTTCTGCATGGCCATTCAGAGACATTGATACAACTTCTGTTATTTAGTTTATCTGTTGGCTGTCTGTTAAAGTGTGCCATCCAACTTCATGTTCTTAATTTTGTTAACCTCCTTTTTAATTTCTAGATTATCGGTGATGATATTTAAGATTTATGGTGATACTATTTGATAGGTCCCATGGTTGATCACCTCTTAGTAAACTCCTTAAATTTTCTTTTTGCCATTACTCCTCATATACCCTTCAAGTTATATATGTTACCCCATCTGGCAACTCTTGTACAAATTGCCAGCACTTGCTGCTTAACTAATAGTTTCCCATGTTAATTTCATTTAGATTCTTTACTGAGTGACATGTGGACTTGATCAAGCTAATTAGTTGAAAAATTCACATGGCTTGTTGAAAGAAAGAGTGAAGTTAGCTGGGTACAGTCAAATTCCGGTAAATCCCAATTGCTTTCTCCCATTTTCCAAGCACACATGAAGTTTATGAAGTTTTCTATTCTGCATTTGTTCTGAAACTTAGTATATTATTGAAGTTGAGACTGTAGGTGCCTGGCTGAGCAGTTGGAGAAACTCTTTCCATTGTCTTCCTTAAATGTAAACCGTGTTCATTTTGTTCTTCCAAAGCATGTCTTAGCATGTCTTTTGCCACCGCAAGTGTTTTAGGGTTTCAACTCTGCTCCACTTGTACTGTTTCCTTTTTTTCCTTTAACCATCCTACACTTGACAACATTGTCATTGTTCTGTTGAAAAGTGAATCAAGTATTAATTTAGTTACAGATCTATACTTAGGGGATCTTTGATCTTAATGTCATATTCAATATGTGTGCAATGGACTTTCTTTTTTAAATTTATTAATACATTTAATGATCATTTGAAGGAATTGCAAATTCTTGAACTTTCCAGTTCTCTCAGGATTTTAAAATTTGATCTTTTACAATAAACAGTTAATTTGGTTTAAAGTAAGTTGGCTGGTGATCATTCAAATGATATTTTACCAGCTCTGATGTGGAAAACTTTAGAAAAAACTCCTCAACTACATTAGTGTTGGTTTATTGTCTACCTGGTGAAGGTACACCATCATTCATGTGCTGAAGTAGCCAGAACTGACAGCAGTCAGTAGTATGTTTTTCTGCATATGGAAAGTTCAAGTAAAAATACAAAATCCTGACATATCTTTCTGCCATGTAACACTGTAGAGCTGTGCCTGCCATCCTGTCTGGTAGCCCATATAAGACTCCGGCTGTATCCCCTTAGAATCTGTCTGTTCCAGACTGATTTGGATCTTTTTTCCCTGAAGTCTGTCACATCATTAGTATGAAAAACTACTACACTGTCGTAACCTTATTTCATATTACCCAAAATCTTTAAAATAGAGGTAAGTATCTTTTCAAAGCTGTGTTTTTGTCATGGTTGCAATTTTATCAGGTCTCTGTTATTCCTTGGAGATCCATTT